TATATATATATATATAATTTTTTAGAAGTACTGTGGGAGCGTATAATTACTCTTTCTAATAAATACTATCCCATTGGCGTAATTTGGGCATTCTTTGTACCCATTGTATTCATCCGTCATCCGGATGATCTAAAGGTAATGAAATATGAACAAAATTTTATTTTTTTCTTATTATTCCTATTACATGTATTAGCAAGTAAGATAATTTTCTTTTCTTTTATTTTTTATTTTTGCCAAAATATACTTACTCATAAAAATCAGACGGAATAAGAAATACAGACTACGATAACAAAAAAGATTAAACTAGCTATAAGCCACATTCATGACTTTAAGTTTATTTTTAACTGAATGATCTGTATCCTTCGCGATCGTTATTTTTTTAGATTTTCAAATTATCTATCTATTCGTTCTATTTTTTTAAGCACATTTTAATAGACTTTATAGTGATAACTATTTATATTTTATGCCTACTTTTTCTTTTCTAATTATATTAATAATTTTTTTTTATTCTAATTACACAACGACCCGAACTATGAAACATTGTTTTGCAACATCTAAATATTTAGCAGAACATTATATCTATGTAATATTCTACTAATAAATATTTAGATGCTCGTAGGGAATGAAATCCGAGTTCGATGTAATATTTTTCATAATAAGAATTATTTAGGATTGTAATATGTCATTCAGCATTATTAGGATCGTTTTAAGATAAGAGCAGTAAATTATTAAATCGTTAGTCCACTCGTGAGTTTAACTCGTGATATTACTAGTTTGATTTTAAAAAAATGCGCATTTTAAAGAACTATATATAAATTCACACAAAATTATACAAGCACTTAAGACTAGCTAGACTGTTAAGGCATTTATTTCCTATAGGTTGTATTTTTCATATATACGATCCTATTAAATATTTACATATTATGCATCGATATTTGTAGTTCATATTGATTGTATTTCTTATTTCGTTTGATTTATTCTCAGAGCCTTATTTATATTATTATTTGCTCGTAAAGTATTTATTAAAAATGATTGAATATTTAAAATATTTTCGAAATCAATTCAATTTTTTGCAATTTTAGACAATATTAAGCAACCCGAAACATATAAAAAAGAGTTTTTTTTATGATAATATCAAACCTTGGCTCGGAACTAGTATTCTCACTAGTGAAGGTAATAATACAAATAAGAATGCATTTCATTACTAAGTTTCGTTTTGACTACCAAGTTTTCATTATATTGATAATAAAATAAATTTGTAATATAAATAAATTTAATTTAAAATTAAATTAAAAGATTGCACCTTATCGCACTTTATTCCAATGCTTTCGAATCGCCATTTCACAATTGTACATTGTATTGTTCATGTTTTAGGCACCAAGTGGCAGTTACAGCGAAAGATATTAATTCCTACATTTCATTTTGATATACTAACCCAATTTGTTGAGATTTTCGAGAAAGAAAGCAAAAACATGATTAAGTCCTTGAAAAATGCAGAAGGCACAGTTGTAAAAGATTTATCATCATTTATTAGTGAATACACGCTGAATTCAATATGTGGTATTACAAAATTATACTAAATTTTCTTAATAATAAATGAATATATTGGGAGTACAAATAAGTTTCCGCCGTTTGCAAAAGACGGCGCCACTAATAAATTATAGTTAAAATTGTTTGATGTAAAACGACATATCGTAAGATTGGACATCCGGCAACATCATAACCTTGAAATATTAGCGATTTTGTATTAGCATCATATATTTTTTTTTGTACGAAAATGTCGAGTTTTGAGCCGAATAAGCGTCATTTGCGCGAACTTTTGATTTACTTCTTTATTTATTATCTTTATTTACTTCTTAATTTGAAGAAATTTGCAGCTGAGGCTCATAGATTGCTTGTAGAAGCATATGGTGATACTGCCTTAAGTGAGAGAAGTTATCGTGAGTGATTTCAAAAGTTTAAGAACGGTGAATTTGTCGAAGACAAAGAACGTAGCGGAAGATCGAAAGTGTACGAAGAATTGGAATTGGAAGCATTATTGGATGAAGATTCGTGGCAAACGCAAAAAGAACTTGCACTTACATTAGGAGTGACTCAACAAACAATTTTATATCGTTTGAAATCATTGGGAATGATTCAAAAGCAAGGGAATTGGGTTCCATATGAATTGAAGCCGAGAAACGTTGAACGCCGATTTTCACATGAAATGCTGCTTGCCAGGCATAAACGAAAGGGTTTTTTGCATCGTATAGTCATTAGTGATGAAAAATGGATCCACTACGATAACCCAAAGAAGAGGAAATCATGGGGATCATCTGGCCATGCTTCAACATCGACAACCAAGCCGAATATTCATGGAAAAAAACTCATGTTGTGTATTTGGTGGGATCAGCTTGATGTCGTGTATTATGAGTTGCTCAAACCGAATGAGACCATTACTGGGGCTCTCTAACACAATTGATGAGATTGAGCCGAGCACTCAAGGAAAAACGCGTCCACTACTACTCCAGGCATGACAAAATTATTCTCCTGCATGATAATGCTCGACCACATGTTGCGGCGCCGGTCAAAAACGTACTTAGAAACATACAAATAGGAAGTTCTACCCCACCCGCCGTATTCTCCAGACATTGCTCCTTCCGACTACCACTTGTTCCGATCGATGACGCATGGACTCTGAGCAGCACTTCACATCATATGAAGATACCAAAAATTGTATCGATGATTGGATAGCCTCAAAAGATGAAGCGTTCTTCCGACACGGTATCCACATGCTACCAGAAAGATGGGAAAAAGTAGTGGCTAGCGATAGCCATTACTTTGAATAAAACATTATGTACCGTTCTTTCACAATAAATGTTTAATTTTTGATAAAAAACGGCGGAAACTTATTTGTACTTCCAATAAATTGCGATAACATTATCATACACACACACATACACACGCACGTACGCACGCACGCATACACGCACGCACACACACACACACAGACACACATATGTATATGATATTATTGTCGCAATTTTTCACAAACACGTTTGCAGAAACTGCTATGGGCGTTTCTCTAAAAGATTTCAATGAGTTCCAGCAACAGTATCGAAAAGCAATTCATCGAATGAGCGAGCTTTGTGCTTATAGGTAATTTATTCGCATAATATTATTCATTCTATCTAAATGTACTTATCTTAATATTTTATCAAGATAAATAATATTTAATGTAAAATCATAGTTAATAATTAGAAATTTACACATGACACGTTATTAATTTATGCATAATAAATAATATAATCAGTTCAATTGTTTATTTAAAAATAAATTCAGTATAAAGACGAATATTTTTTAATAAGATGGAATAATTAAAAAAGTTATTGTGCATATATTTAAATTTTACATATGTCTTTAGTATAATTTTATTATTGTTCTAAATTTATTTTTATACAGTTATTAAAATATTTCTAATTTTATAAATGTATATAGAGAAAGGAAGCTTTTACAAAAACGATTTTTTTAAAATAGCATGCCTATTATTTAAAAACTGTATTGTAATTATTAGAGCAACAAGACAATGGCTGCATTTTGATTGGATATTCTCATTGACGCCAAAAGGCAGAGAACAAGCGAAGATTCTAAATATATTGCATGGATTTACTGAAAGAGTAAGTTAAAATACTATTTATATGACATTTAATCATTATCTATTTTAGGAAATTATAGTAATGACTTTATATAAAGAAGTATTGCAAGATAAATCATAAATATTGACAACACATTTATGTAAATCATAGAAAAAACATTAATGTTGTATTTACATATAGATTATTGCCGAAAGAAAACTTTATCATGAACAAACTAATGGTCAATATTTGAAAAACGATGATACATCAATAGAAGAAGATGACACAAAATTGATTGGAAGTACGTATAATCAGAAGATATTCTTCTAATTGGATATTATATTTTACAATTAAAATGATAATCTAAAAATTTCATGCTTATATGCTTCGATTAGAGCGAAGGAAGAAGCTTGCAATGTTGGATCTTTTCATAGCGGCATCTCGTGAAGGTCTCATGACTGATTTAGAGATTAGACAGGAAGTTGACACTATTATGTTCGGGGTATACATTTGTAACTTTCATGGTATTCTTAAATATTTACATACAATATTTGATATATCAATGTTTTTAATACAGGGCCATGATACTATAGCGGGAAGTTTAAGCTTTATTTTAGCATTATTAGCTGAGCACAAAGACATTCAGGTATTTATCGTCAAATGTAAGCTGTCACTTTTAGACAAAAAAATTAGTTAATTTGCTAACTCCAGAAATTATTTATTAAAACTGTATCAATATTAAACATGTAAAATGTCTTTTTTAAGAGCGCGCGTGTATATGTGCGTGTGCGTGTGCGTGTGCGCGTGTGTGTGCGCGTGTGTGTGTGCGTGTGTGTGTGGTGTTCTGTGTGTGTGTGTGTGCGCGCGCGCGCGTGTGTGTGTGTGTGTGTGTAATGCGTGCGTGCGTGCACACAATTCACTTTCCTATATTATCAACAGTATACAAAACAAAACACATTTACACGTGTGCAATTGATTCGTACACATATATAAATATATTTAAATAAAAAACGTATTTTTAATAATTAATGATACAGGATCGTGTCAGAAACGAAGTCGATATTGCTATGCAAGAGAATGAAAATAAATTAACTATGAAATTTTTGCATCAATTATCATATTTAGAAAGATGCATAAAAGAAGCTTTGCGCTTGCATAGTGTCGCATTTTTTATATCACGTGTATGTGGAGAAGATGTAAAATTACGTACGTATTAAACTCTTATTATATTTATAAATTTATTTTATTTTTAAATATATTATTCAATATCTTAGATAGCAAAATAAATATTCGTTTCGGAAATATTGCTATTAGATGTAGCTTTGTAGATATATAAGAACTAAATAATGCAAGATTTCTATTTCAAAAATTCAAAAATTTCTATGTTTTATTAATAATACTTATATATCCAAAAGTAAAATATTTCATCCAAAACATACCAAGTGTATAAAACTACTATGTATAACAGCATAAAATATTAAAAAAAGAAACAATATTATTCAGAAAATTAAAATAATTATTACATTTTTTATTAAACAAATTTGTAAATACTCATTCCTGCGTTAAAGAGATACTCAATTTAAATTTTCTTATAATGTTTTTAATTATTATTTATAAAATATGCTTTTTTTTATAAATATGCTTATTTTTAAAAATATGCTTTTTAGAATCATATTTAATACCTGCTGGCACCGTCCTGCATATTAATATTAATGGAGTCCACACAGATCCCAATTTTTGGCCAAATCCAGAGGTATTTGATCCTGATAGATTTTTGCCCGAGAGGATCCGAAATCGTCACCCTTACTCATATATACCATTCAGTGCTGGATCACGTAATTGTATCGGTAAGCTATGATTTTATAAGCTGTACTCTTTTATATAAAAAAATTGCAACAAATATTAAATTATAGGCCAACGATATGCTATGCTGCAAATGAAAATGATGGTAGCTTCTTTGATACATAATTTCTATTTGGAATCCGTAGATTATATAAAGGATATTCGATTCCAGATTAATATCACAGTTCATCCTCATCCACTTCGTATACGATTTGTTCCTGTTTTGCAAAATTAATACAAACAAAAACAATAACAAATCATTCTTTCGATTCAGATACTTGTCGCTTTTTTTTTTAAAAGCGACAAGTATCTGCATCGAAATATAAATTAGAAATATTTTTCCTGTTTTACAAAAAATTATGTAATAACAATATAAACTTGTTTTAAAATAATTAAATGTTAAAATGCATACAGATAACTTATCTATGAAACTAACTTAAAAAATTATTTAAACATAAGTGGAGATGAGTTCATTATATCATCGGATACGTATGTAGACAATGGATGGATATAAATACTACTGCATATAAATATTAAACAAAAATGTGCGTAATTCGTTCTACAAATATATTATTCTTAAAGAAATATCATCTCAAGAAACGTCTCCTGTGTGAACTGTCATTATCGTGGGAAGCGCAAGCGACATAAGCGTTTAATTTCGCAACTGCGTTGTACAAGTATTTCGATGTCGCTCACATTATACGCAGAACTTTTCCTTTGCACGAAATTCATCGAAATAGTGCATGATAATAGCACGTGAACTTATTCGTGACAGAGATTTATTTCCTTATTTGCGAATTCTCTCTGGGAAAATCTGCGAACTGACTGCTACATGTCTGGCGGTTGATTGTTTCCAAGGTGGATACGCTGCGTTTTTTCGTATTTCTCTTTTGTATCTCTATGCTTGGATTCGTGCGAAAATGTCTCCCGGGACAAGACCTTCGGTCCAACCTCTGGACATGGAGAGAGGTGATACTCACAATTGTATAAAAGAAACAGATTCAAGAGATTCATCATGCGCATGTAACATTATCGTCCCCTTTGAATAATAATTATCAACCTTGCGATGAAAAAAAAAGACCCGCAGAAATACTAATAGACCGCGAGATAATGCAGCCGCCAGAGCAATTGATGTATATACGCTTTGTCTCGCACCGCTTACCAACGTTTTTCGCAACGTTTATCAATTAGCTCTCGGCGCGTGTCTATCTAGGAATTCTAGCGAAAGACCGAAAGATATTCGCGCGATTGATTTATTTTTCTTTTAATTAAGAGAAATAGGAGAGAGTGGTGTCAGTTGTAATAAAAAAAAGATTTTTGCAACTAACTAGTTTATTATAAATCACAGGAAATCTTAATTTTATGTGAAAATAAGAGGCTTCTTTGGCATTGATTATAACATAATAGATATTGAAAAAACAACAAATTAGAAAATATTCATAGCACCGCTGCAATTTGTTACTATTGACACCATAGTGGTGTCAATTGTACCATCTCAAAGTGTCAATTGTAACATATCAATACTAATTACATTAAGCAACATGAAAAAAAAAACAGAAAAATAATAATCGTGAGGTCTCAGACCTATTGTAAGTAAAAATAACTATTGTTAATGATCAAATATTAAATCGTTTAAACAATTAAAACAAAAGAAAAATTGTTATCTGCGTGAATATGTCTATTTTCTGCATTCTGTGCACATTCTGTAACCAGTCTTCTTGACTTTTTCCGTACGATTCACATCTTCACAACTGATAATTCAAACTATAATACGATTATAATATGTTACAATCGATATCACTGTGATTGTTACTTTTGCAACCACCGTCATTTATTTCCATTAGATGTTCATTAAACTCACGCAATAAATTGTACGCAATAAATTTAATTGATATATACTTTATTTGCAAAACTTAAGATACATATAAATATATTTTTTTTTTCATATCAAACAATATGATTTTATGACAAATTGTTATAGAACGAGCTGCAACAAAATAAGGGGAAATAACAAAGATTCAGCTCTTTCAGCAGAATCATTTTTTAGACGTCCATAAAAAATTTCACTATCAGTCCTCACCCTAATAAAGTGAACGATAAGATTGACGAAACATTGGCATTGATAAACATTGGCAATGGATAACACATCGGATAATCTTTTGGTATCTTTGAAGATAATACTCGTAAAAACCTAAAAAATTTTATTTATGATTTGACATTGATTTCAAGTAAATAGATAGACTGATAAGTTTACACTGACGTGCGCCTATTCAGTTTTTCATTAATAACTTACTTCTGTTAAAGCTATGCAACCGTGCAATTTAGCCGTCTGTCAATAGATAATAAAGTTATTACGGTCAATGTTACAATTAACTCTTTGTTACAACTTACATTTTTCTCTAAATAAAAAATAAGTTTTCATTATCCTTTTCCTTATCAAATACATAATCTCGCAAGGAAGTGAACAAATCGAATTTTTCGAATCTCATATTATGTACGAATTGCATTTTAAATATATTGGTCTTCTCAGAAAAAGTGTACAAATTGAATTCAAATACTTCTCAAAAAATAATATAAGGAAAACATAATATAAATCAAAATAGGGGATAGTTTTAAGTAATTACATAACAAAATTTTATTTCCTACATTATTTCTATAAAACTAAAAAGCAATTTGTGGTTAGCTTATATTTAATACTGCCGTAATAATTAATTTTAATGTATGCAATTTTTTTCCTCTTTCCTGAACAATTTTACATTTTTTTATTTGTATCATTTTTTACGGTGAAGAGATAGTTTTATTAAAAGATCTAAAATTTTGCTGGATACAGACCTAAAACTAATTTTATTGGATCATCAAAATAATGTGATCAAAACAATATTGGTGGAAACTAAAAAATATTACAAAAAAATTTTGATATTCTAACAACTAGTTTGAGCTTCCAACAAAATTATTTTCAGATTTGTATCCAGTAAATATTTCAGCTCTTTCAGCAGAATCATTTTTTGGACTTCTGTAAAAAATTACATTATCAGTGCACTCCTCATAAAGTGAATGATAAGATTGACGAAACATTAATGGATAACATGGCGAATAATCTTTTGGTATCTTCTTTTTAATACCCGCAAAAACTTAAAAAGTTTTATTTTAACTTTTCTTATCTTATATTATAACACAGAATAAATATACATTAATTTACGGGCAATTGAGAGCAATAATCGCAATCATTCGTGCGTAATAATGAACGAATGTATTATTCGAGATTATACATAAAAAACAACAAAATTAAACGTTTTGGCTCCGTTCGAGCCATCATCAGTGATGTCCCAAAGATTCAAAAGTTAATCGTAATGATTAGGTTCAAGAGAGTAGAGTCTCTTCAATTTCACATTTGAGAAGCATTACTATTAGTTACTTATATTATAAATTTGATTACATCTCGCTTTTACATTTCCATATTTCACTCAAGAAAACGTGTATAGATACATAATGAACGTGTGTGTGTATATATATATATAT